GACAGAGCAAGCTTGCTAAGGCTGCTGCTAAGAGGGCGTCGACTCTCGAGGGGATAAGCTACGGAGATATGTTTGGGCGTCAAGATGGTCCGGGTTCATCCTCGTCAGCTCCCGGTGGTTCATCTTCGGCAGTTCCCGAGACTCAGGGAGGTTCTACGGCATCCCGGTCTCAGCAGCCACCTCTTCCTCCTCCTCCTCCACCGGTCGGGGTTCATCCCGATTTTCAGGTGCCGCCGAACGCACCCTTTGCGGTGTACACGGTGGAGGATATTTTTGCCCTTCCAGGTAGAGAAGGGCTGGCAGAGTTAGATCCTTACCGACGGAACGACCAAAACATTTTATGGTATGTTTTAATTTTTAAATTTTTTAAAAATTTATTTCTTAATTAACAAAATATTTAGAAGTTAATCTAATTAATGATTTATTTTGTGTCTTTCCAGGTTTGGTTGTGACAATAGTGTAGGATTTAGCGTCACAGACTGTATCAAGGGATACTTTCCCGATCCAGCTCCAAACTGGAAGATGACGGCGAGCCACACAAAAAAGACGTGGTTCAAATCGTTCGCTGTAAGTTTAGTTCGTTAATTTATTTTTAATTATTTTAAATTATTAATATAATTGAACTAATCCGTCTTTTATTTTTTCTGGTTATAGAAAAAGTATCGTTGGTCTATTGGGATTCACCAGCGAGTGAAGAAGGAGTTTGAGGCCAAGGCATGAGCACGATTGCTCGACACGGTCTACAACTGGAAGGGCGACTATGAGGTATAGATTTATAAATTATAATATATATATAGTTTTAAAAATATTATATATTGACTTTAATTCTAATTTTTTTTTTTTTAAATCAGGTGGATGGTTACGAGGCCGGGAAACCCGATTGCCTCACAACCATGGTGTGGGATGGCCTCATCAGCTATTGGGGGTTGCCGGACTCGGTCAGAACCTCCAACACAAACTCCGGGAACCGCATGACCAAGGACGAGCATGGCAACACGAAGGTGCTTCACACCACGGGTCGAAAACCTCACGGGGGAGTTCGTCTAGACATGGTAAGATGATTTTTAATATCAATTTAATTTTTATTTTATTTGNTTTGAATATATTCCAAATTAATATTTAATTTTATAAATTAATTTTAGGCTAAGGAGACATGAGTTCTTCCATCTCTGAAAGACCTTTACGAGAGGACCCACCGGAACAAGGCTGGGCAGTTTGTAGATCCTGCTTCCGAGCGGATCTACAACGAGCTTGTTGCCCGAGTTGACGAACGCCAGACCCAGCTGACTCAGCAAACTGGGTCTTCAGTCATATTATCCACTGTTGACGTGGATAAGATTTACGAGGAGGTAAATAATTTGTTTTACTATTAATTTTTAATATTTTTTTAAATTTTTCTTAATGTTAATTATTAATATTTTTATTTTCAGGTCACCCCTAGGAAAAAGGGGCGTATCATCGGGATTGGCTCGGTTAACGATGTCCCTGCAGCGACATCGTCTTATCATCAAGAGCAGCACGATGTCAATGTTCAGCTGCGCTCAGAGTTGCAGGCGACGCAGTCTCATGTGACTTCGCTCACCGAGCATGTCACTTCTCTCACCGATATCCTCGACATTATGGCGGTTGGAAACCCGCAAGTGTAGGAGCTGTTGCGTCAGAGACGGGAACGTGCAGGGATTCCAAGTACCCAACATCCTCCGCCATCACAGTCACAGCCGGCAACCAACTATGGAGAGGATTTGCCGAGCCAGGACGACGACCGGTTCATTCAGCAATTTCACGACCAGTATCCGTAGTTTCTTTTATTTTTATTTGTATATTATGAATTTAAAAACTTTTTGTATATTATTTAGTTATTTATAAAATATTTTGTTTTTTATTTTTTATTTATAATTTGATTTTTTTATTTTTAAAAAATAAATTAATTATTTGTAATTATTTTTTTTAATAGGAAAAAAAACATTTCCAAGCAAAATCCTCGTAAATTAATCCAAGTAATGTCCGCGTAAACTGTTCTAGTAATTTCCTCGTAATATATCACTACGACCTTACGAAGAAATACTTACTACGAGCTTACGAGGAAAATATTACCACGCCTTTACGAGGAAAGCTTTCCTCGTAAATTCGCTACGACCTTACGAGGAAAATGGCTTTACGATGAACGTGTTTCGAGGAAACGCGTTTCCTCATAATTTCTTAGTAAAAGGCCATTTACTAGGAAATAACGAGGAAAACCCGTCCTAGTAATGGACGAGTTTTCTTGTAGTGTATCAATTTATTGAGTTTCTACTGTAAACTGTAATTATTTAGTTGATTAACAGAATAACACTAATCATATAGTTGAAAAGTGTTAAACCATATACTCCCTCTGTTTCAATATAAGTGTCACTCTACAGCTATGCACACGGATTAAGGAAACAATTAATTTTACATATTTCATATATAAAAACACAATTACCCATACACCTAACCATATTTTAACCAATAGAAAAACAAATTACATAATAAAATTAATAAACTTTACATTGAAAACCGAAAACGACACTTATTTTGTAACACAAAAAATTCTCTACAACGACACTTAATATAAAACGGAGGGAGTAATAATTTATTTAAACTATGAGGTTTTTGTTTAAACGATAATTGTTGGTTTATGATATGAGAAAATCAAAGGCTGGTTGTTTATGCTATGACAAAAGCATATTCCTTATATATTAATACTTTAAATACATTAATTGTTAATAATTGATATGTTCAATGGCATTTCCAATAATTAATCTAGTTATAAAGGGTTGTTAATTAATCATTGTGAAAAGGTCTAAAGTGTTGAAGCCTAAGCAAAATGGCAATTGTTTGAATAACTTACATTTTAGTTATTAAAAAAACTTTTCCTTCAATAAAAAAGGGATATGTAACATTAAAACAAAAACGTTATTCATTCTTGATAATAAATCAAACAAGTCAAAGCATTAACATATAATGGACAAATAACGTTTTACTCTAATCATATTTATGGGCTAGAATATGTTTAATTCAAAACTGTAATCTTGTAACAGAAACGTTAGCATTCAGCAATATTTGACCAAAAATAAATGAAAAATAAATACACAAAGAAAAACATTAAACCAAACCAAGCCACAATCAAGAGCATGTGGTAAAAAATTAGAAGTGTTTACCATTTTCCTATTCAAACACATTTTCAGAGGATTGGTAATTGATTTCAGTTGCTAAATAACTTATGAAAAGCAAATTAAGCTTGCAAATCAATTAACCACAATTCTGCAAGCTAGAGCAAATAGACTGTAAATCTCAAGCAACAAACACGGAAAGTGCAGAAAATTGTTTCAAATAATTCAAGCGATCCAGCAAAAAAATATGTTAGCCCAAGACCACAAGATTTACACAAGACTAAAACTAGCCAAGAAATAAAAAAATAATCCAGATTTTGTTTGGAGACTGTCTGACTACAAAAATCAATGAGCCGAGATCGATATTGATCCAAAATTAATCCACACTAGATTAGGGACCCCCTTGGCTGAACATTAAAATGTTCTTATCAAAACTTAAACAAAAAAAAAAAACAGTTTTCGTTAGTACAATAACGAATATTAAAGAACTAAGATTGTAGGATCATATTTTACGATATGACAAACTGAATAATTTGTTTATATGATGATAAAACATAAATAAAATATACAATACTTGATACCGAAATATGATAAACAAAGACGGGTTTCATGTGGAGGCGAGACACTCTTTCTTTAATTCCTTAATTGCCTGTAGTATGAAAGTGTTTATGCAATCAGAATCCTATGATATAATCACACTTCGACTATTCCTCATCACTTAGAATAGAAGCTAACGAACTTCTTTTTGTGTTGCATTCTTAGTCACAAAATAAATAAATAAATACTGGCATAACTATTCTAAGTGGCAGAATTGTTTCTTCTCTTTGTTGTTGGATTTCTTAGTTTTTTTGAAAATGAGAAGAATGCCGTTTGATTTTTCAGCCAAAAAATTAAAGACAATTTTCCATAAAGTGAAAGAATTTTTGCTTTCAATGAGAATTCATTATCTACTTAATGAATTTATTATTTTTATGTTATAAAAAATATTCAATGTTTTAAGTTACAAAATTTAACTAAATGAGATAGATATTTGTTGACTTTTAATAAAAGAAATTAATCTTTTAGATCGCAAGTCTGTTGGTCAAATCCCAAACTCGAACTTAAACTCCGCCTTGCTATCTCATTTCTCATTTTAATTTTCGAATAGACATTTCACAAATGTTTTCTTTTAAACTTTACAAGAAATCCACTTAGATGTACATTTCTCATTCAATCCAACTCTGTTTTTGACATATAGCTACACTACTTTATAGTGCCCAACATTCAATTATTCCAACGAATATTTCTGCCTGAAAACTTACTGAAAAATGGTCTAAAACCATTTTGTCGAGTTCCAACAAACGATATGGCATGAAATCCTCAGTTCAAAAAAAAAAAACAAACGATATGGTGCAAAACTTCTATGTACGGACACCCTAAATCGGCCACATATCAATTGTACTTTCCTTCCCTTTTACTGTTTTGTCGGTTAAAACCGAAGAAAGAATACGCATTTGCTTTTTTCTAATAAGCAGTTGAAACGTACGTACATGTTCGTTTTACTTTTGCTTTTCAACATACTAGTCACAGTCGACATAAAACAAGATAATCATAAGGCAGGCTTTCATATGTATTACAACCTCATATATATGCAGGACCATCTGAAATCAACCTCATATACCTTTCATTGCTATATATATTGTAAGGCACAAAGTAATAGAGCTAAAAGGAAAACGTGTTCTAAAAGGTAAATGATAATAATGATAATAATGTTCTTGTTTCATTCAAAGCATAACAAAACATAGAATATCTAACGTAAAATAACAAATTTTCAAATATCTAACGTACGACAAGGAAACTTAGAATAATGTATCAATAAAACTGTTATACCTTTGTAATAATCTTACAAATGTGTATTCATAATTTTTATCACAAAAGAGAAAAACAGATTCATTGCAATCAAATTATTGATAATTATAAGAAATACACATCTCGAAGAAATTGAGAACAATTCTCAATTATAAAGGAAACCCTAATGATGTTGCGGGTCGGATCCTCCTGGACTTAGCCGCTCAGGAGATTTTCCCTGGCTGCCATTGCCCCCTGTAACTTGACCATCTGCTAAATTTTGGCTCGTAGACTCATTAGAAGTGCTTAAAGTTCTTACCTTCACCCCGACGGGAGTCTCCTTGAGAGGGCGGCTTCCGGTGGCAACTGAGGCTAGCAAAATAAACAACAAGAAGCACAACGAGAAGCTTAATTTAGCCATTAGCACCTAGTTTCTATATATAGAAAGGCAATAGAAAGGGAGAGAGAGATTGCAATTGTGATGTAGTTAACGTGGTGTGTATGAGTGTATATGAGGAAAGAAGTGATCTCAGGAGGGTTTCTACTTATAGAGATTTATTTGAAGGATTTCTAGTAGTGGTAGTGGGGATAGGTTGAGCTAGCTTAGGGCTTGAGTGCTAATAGCAAGTGGAAACGTGAGTTGTCACTGACTGACGGTTTTTGACGTTGAGAATATGTAAACCCGAATCACAGCGATCTTAAACAAAAGAATATAGTTTGATTTTGATAATGTTGGTTGGATATTAGGTTTACGAAACTGCAAAATATTCACATGTATGGTTTGGTAATAATCAAGTTAAATAAATTAACGAAAAAACCGACTAATTAAATTCAAATAATGTATAGTAGTATAGTTATGTATAAATTCTATAATATAACTCTTAATCTATAAATATAAATGATTTATATTTAAAGCTTTAGCTCATTTTGGGAAAAAGCTTTATTTTATATATATATATATATATATTAGTTTTTATTTATGTTAGAGTTAGAAAAAAATTGGTTTCATAAATTTTTTCTTTTTATTAATTCTTAGTTGTTCAGTAATAGTGAAGATATTAATGTTTGCAGGTTTTGACGTTGAGAAGATGTAAAACCGAATCAAACTGATCTTAAAAAAAAAGAATATAGTTTGATTTTGATAATGTTGGTTGGATATTAGGTTTTAGAAACTGCAAAATACACATTTGTAATATATTAACTAGGAAAATTTGTTCAAATTAAATTTGGAACCGTTTCACAATTCTCGCTTAACAGTTAATTTTAATATATATATCTATTTACAAAAAAGAGATATTAATGTTTTTGTTACCATTTACCATTTTAGAGAATGATCATAGTTTTTTAATAACTCTGTGTTTATGTTATTCATAATTACTTTTATTTCAGTAGTCGAATAAAATAAAGAAAATATTATATTTAAGAATTAGATAACTGATATTGTATGTTTTAAGGAATTTGATCTCCAACCATATAAATTGAAAATTATAATAAGTTAAAAATAATTATGATATTTATTAAAACTGAATAAGTCTAAAATTAAAAAAAAATATCCAAACTAAACCAAAAAAGGTTGATATGATTTTGTAGTTTTATTTTATTAATTTTTAAACCAGACTAAAATAGAACTGAACATTCATTTTTTCTAGTGCATCCGTTTATAGTTCTTCGTTACCAAAAATCATCAACAATAATCATATTTAATCTGTTACCAGCTTAGCAAGTGACACTTGCGACTTGCAAAATTTAAATTGGTACTTTGAACAGAATATAAATTGAAAAAGATTGCCGCATTATGGTATAGTACATATATTTAATACAATCGATATCTTAATATATATAACTACTAGTTGTCCTAGGGCCAAACCCTTTATAGACTCATGTGCAATCCATTTTTAAACTCTTGTTGATTTTTTTAGGTATCATTGTCTTTGGATGGGTTTTTACAATTTTACTTATTCAAAAAAACTAGGTGTTTGGCCCGTGGATGTGGACAAACATATTTATAACTACTAATTAATACATTCGTTACTAAATGAAAACTATAGTATAAATTATTATTTATTTTTCCATCTAAAATCTTTTATGTCTTATAACTGTTTGTAAATTTCTTTGTATATTATAGTCTATTTAGGAATTATATTTTTTTCATTTTAAAATATATTCTTTTTCAATGATATAAAATTAACAATTCTATTTGAAGAATATTTACTTATATGTTTTCTGTTTCTTAAAAAAAAATTTATTTAAATATTTTTTCAGATAACAACAATATATATATATATATATATATATATATATATATATATATATATATTATCTTTTCATTTTAAAATATATTCTTAGATTCTGTATAATTCATAATTATTAATTTTAATCAATTATCTAATAAAAAATAAAATTCGTTTTAATTCATGATTAATTTATATATTTTATACATTAAAGATATAAAATGATATTAACCACTCTCACTTTTAACGTGGGAGTTTGAATACGAAAAATCACTTCGTAAATAATATTATAAATGTGAATATATCTTAGCGGCTAAGATGCACTCAGTGAGAATTGATTTCTACAATTAATCCAGTCAAAACAATGCTAAACAACCTGTATTTACTTGCAATCAATATAAAATGATCTTAATAAGCTCTAAAGCTCTAGTTATTTGAAGCATTTCCGAGTTCCGAATCGAACAAGATCTCTTATCACGTCGTGTCAATATTTTTCAAACCCTTATAGAATCATATATCAGTCATGCAGAGATCATCCATTTAAAAAACTTGCTGTTATGTTAGGTCGCCGCGACTCACATGTATTTACACGATCGAAAGTAAATAAGACTAAACTCTTACTCAGTGACATGAGAAATATTAAAATAAGAAGTTTGAATATTATTATTTATCCATTTATTCGACCATTTTCGGTAATTATAGAAAGATATGAATCTTATAAAGATAGATATGAATCTTAAAACAAGAAAAAGAAACTTATAGAATTACATTGGTCTACCAAAAAGCGATAATAGACGGATTGGAGTGCTAATTATACTAAACATTTATGAATGTCGATAAAGCACGAATCTCTTTTTTTTTTGGTCAATACCAAAAAATACACTATTTCTAACTCGACCGTCCCTTATCCAGTCATATACTATCATAGTATGTATAATATAAGCATGCGCACATAGAAAAAAAATATATATAAATATATATATGTATATGTAAGTGAGTGTGTGTGTATGTGTGAGAGAGAGAAAGAGTTGATAAATACGAGGTAGTGGTAACGGAGGAGTGATTAGTGAAATTGCATTAAGAGAGAAAAGGAAAAGAGTAAAAAATATGAAAATAAATGAAGTCAAAGGCAAAGAGCACTTACGGGTTTGTGTTGTTTTTGGATTGGTGAATCAGAGATTTATAACTTATATATATATTCACACATCTGATTCATCAGGAGATTTTTATTACAAGAAGAATATTCATAAGAGTTAGAAACGAGAAGTATTATAATCTTGATTACTTTTTTAGGTAGTAGTGTAGTTTAAGATTCCACTGACTGATTCATCAGGAGATTTACACTGTAATTACTTTTACTAACTGAAGCATTTCTTATCCAAATCCAGAAACATCGCCTAAAGGGTATCAATGTGTTAGCAACTTTTTGTATGAGCCAAGTATTATGCAGCACATCGGTAAATCCTACCCTACAGCATGTAGTGACGGATGAAAGAGACTTACTGTCTGACCAAAATGTCAGAAGTTTAATATAGAGGCATTTAGGCTACATACATTGAAGGTGTTGAATGAATTTTTTCAACAGTTGAAAAAAAAGAATCAAAACAATAGGGTTGTTGAATGTATATGTGGATTCAACATGTTGAAAGAATCCAACCGTTGAATTAACAAAAATGAGTCTCATTTTCCACATGTGTTCTTATGATATTGGATCATTTAGATTCTTGATTTTTTTTTCTTATCCCAATTTTTCTACAACAATTATTTATAACAAAACGAATTTAAAAATTTATTTTTCATATATCAAAATTCATAATTTTTTCTGTTCTATAAATAGAGACTTGATTCATTCAATTTGGATACAAAAACAAAATTCTATTTTCTACTATAATTTTCTATCATCTACCTTTAGACTCTTGATTATATTCTTAATTATTTTCTTATCGAAATGGATCCTAATATTTTTAATGACTATGCATATTTTTTTTATTTTTGTTATTTGTAAGAAATTAATTAAAATTTAATGATTTTAAGTTAAACGAATTGAAAGCTTTTATCAATATAAAAAAATATAGGATATGGTGTTGAATTTTATTAAACAAAACCATTGTAGAGTATAAAAAATAAGTAGGTGTTGAATGATTAGGTGGAAGAGAAAGAAGATGATGTGGAGTGTAAAAAGTGGAAATTAGGGTGTTGAATTTTTCACACCAATGTACATATTACATACAAATTATAAAAAAATAAATAATTTGCAGGGATGGAAAAACATGATAGGACTCAACACTAATATATGTAAGAAGACAATAATAATCCCATTGCTTGTTTGTGGAAATGATTTTGTTCTCTCTATTCTTTATCTTTCTCTATTCTCTATCTCTTTCACGCACGATTTCTCCTACAAACCACTATCACATTTTTCACTTACAAACATAAAATATCAAACACTAAATCGTAGTTTTTTAGATCGAGTTTTTTTCCCTTATGAAATTTAGTCATCCTTAATTTCATTACCACAAATTTACACAATGACCTTTCAAATCTCTCACTCAAACCATCAAATTTTGGATGTGGTTACACGGTGGCGGATGGACTCACAAAAGCTGGAAAGCACAAGCTTTGATTAACGAAAAGTTGTTTCATTCCCCGTGTTTTAACAAACACTCTCTTTCTGACCATCATCATCTACCGTCGCCTCTGTCACATTACAGTCGTCAAGTACCACTTCCGGGGATCAATTCAAAAGACGAGACTCAGTTAAGGGTGAAGTACCAACTCTTAATTGGTACCATGGTTCTTAGAAATGTCTTTCACTTTTCATTAATGATGTACGTTATAAAATAGCCGGTTAAGATTTTACTGACCTTTTTAGTTATAGTTAGCTGGTAATATATACTAATAATCTCGACATTTTCATAGTTACTGATAATATATACTAATTAATGATGTAATTTTTGAAATAGCCGGTTAAAATTGTACTTGAATAAACTTTCTGTTATAGTTTGGAAATGTCTTTCACATTTTTCTAATGATGTAATTTGTGAAATAACTGGTTAAGATTTTACTTATTTTTTTTTAATTAGAGTAAACTAGTAATATATACTAATTAATGATGTAATTTTTGAAATAGTTATTTAAATTTTAATTGATTTTAGGCAAATTATAAAGTTTGGGGCTGAATTGAAAACATCTAAAGCTCTGAGGACCATTCTTTCGTGTCTTCTACGGCCAATATATGTTGTTGTCTCTAGGAACCTCTCTTCTCTTCTTCCTGT